AGAACTTATCTGTATTTTTTTTTTAATTTATGACGTAGTGAACAGATAGGCAGGCAGTCTCCAGACTAACGGAAGTGGATGTAGACTCTTCGATAGTAGCAGGAGTCTTCGATATCAGTAGAATAAATGTAGAGTCATAAATACTGTCTCAAAAGTGGTTACTCATATGCCAATTACTTATACGTCAATTTCTTATACGCCAGTTACTCTATAAAAAAAACTCTCAGAACAGTCACCGAATACCAAAAAAATAACTTACGGTCTGAAAATCAGCTGTACACATTCCAAAATATAGCCAAACTATATGCTGATCCAAACCAGTAATGCAATAATCAAACATTATCAAAATAAATAAAAAAGCGGGAATAACTGAAATAAAATTTAGTTAGACATGGCGATACAAAATGGTAGATACACTTACTGTGATCTTATTCCAGGAAAAGGCCAAAAAAACACGAACTAGGCTCTGAACAGTATATTCTACAGGATTTCAAATCTCCACTTTTGGATACCCGTGCTTTTACTGTTTTACGGAAAAGTGTTTCAGAAAGCCCTTTTTCTCTGAGATTCGTCGGACGCTGAACCACGCGTCTTTTTCTGATCTCAATCTCTCGGAAAAAAGCCTCCTTCCTCCTTTTCGCAAAACGGAAGTCTTCGAATTGACAGGTCAGATGACCAAAGGCAATTAAGTGAACTCTATCGTCTATACTGAATGAAATTTGTTTTTATGGAAAGGAACCGCTACCTGTACTGAATGAAGTTTAACATCTAGCGAATAGATGGCGCCAGCAATATTAAAATTTGGAATTTTATAAAAAGAAAAATAAAACGCTACAGTATTTTAACTGGTAGTATAGTTCAACTCCAGAAACACGCCTATGAGGTTTTTTTCGCGAAAAAAATTTTGAAAATTCAGAATTTTTTGAAAATTTTTTTTGATTTTTTTTTACCTTTTAGCCAAAAAACATAATTTCTTGATAATATGGCAACATAGGTAATAGATTAAATTTACAGGAAAGAAAATCCAATAAGATCCAGTGGTTCTCAAAATTTTAACAAAAGATATATTTTTTTAAATTTTCAAAGTAAAATAACTCCGTTATTTTGGACTTATTTGAAAAACGATAAAGAGAAAATATGTTTCTTTTATCGAGATCTACCACCCCTTCAAATACTTGCATTTATTTCTGGGACACCCTGTATATATTTTATTTATTTATTTAATATATCTCTGAAACTATCGAAACATATTTACTCATATCTTAGGATTGTGTAAAGTGATCTGGAAAGAAGCCAAAATGCAATAATATACAGGGTGTTTGTTCCATTAAAAAAATCTTCACGATCCACTCAAACTTTTTGAGCCACTCTGTAGAAGTTAGTTAAAATATTTCCCTTTCCTAACATCCTAGTCCTAGTACATACTTTAGGTTTGCACTTATACAAAATTCACGTTTCTTATTCTAGAAGCTAGAGATACCCGACCCCGCCGCATTATTGTCGGACCCTGTATATTTTATGTTGAACAAAAAAGTGAAAATCTCAAAGAACAAGGAAATTTGATATGGAGCTTTTTTCTTGTGGCACTGGGTCGCATCGCCATGAAATATATTCCCAAAAAAAGCAAAAATACACTTATAGAATTTATTTCCCTTGTTATTCATTCAATAAATAATTTTATACCTGTATATTTATTAAAATAGTGTCACAATTTGCAAATAACGGAAAAGCCATAATTTTAGCTCGTATTCTTTATGCAAAAATTACAAACATCAAAACCATTTCGTAACAATGATAATTAAAACACAATAAATATGCATAATGACTGGTGAAGTCGTGTGATTAAATTGCCGTTTATTATGGTTGTACCTGAGCATTGCTTGTCCGTAATTTCGTAAACAGTTATTTTGGAAAGTTACGAGTAACAATTAAGAAGAGATTAAGAGCTTCTGAAATTCATGATTGAATTGTAGAATTCGACAGTTTTTAACTTTAAGTTTGGCAACCAATTATTTAATTCAAATTTATAATTACCTATAATTAGTTTGATGTTTGATATTTAACAAATATTAAGATAAAGAAGGGCAACAGCAATAAAATATCTGTAAATTTCGAAGAAGTTTGGTTTGGTCTGATGATCTACAGTAAAATGGGTCCATAGATTAATTATGGCAACTATAGCAAGATAAATTAAATTATAGGTGTTTTAGTCTAAGATGCGCCTGCGGGATTATTACTCTCATCGTATTTTTAATCAAAACCTAATTTTTAAGTATATTTATGAATAGGAGAATACACTTTTAACAGGGTGCTTATCAAAAAGTTGCCGCAAGTAAGGGTTGCCACGTTTCAAAGTTTTCCCTACGGGCCCGGCAAGAGTGAGTCGGGCATCTGTAGCTCCTATAATAAAAAAACTTAGGAATTTTGCATAAGTGCGAACCTAATGTATGTGTTTAGGATGTATTTCAGGAAAATATTTTAATTTCTACAGGGTGGCTCAAAAAGTGTGTGGTGTTCGGGATGACTTTTTTAAATGGAACACCCTGTATATTATTTCTTTGTTAGATGGAGCATTAACAAATCAACATTTTTTATATTTAAAGTATTTTAAAATCTGTATTTTTTGTGTCAATATCATCAGTCTGGTATTTAATCGTTGAAAGAGCCATATACCGGGTGCGTCTCAAAAGTGGCTTACCCCTATAACTTTTTTACTTTTCCAGATAAAAAAACGAGATTTGGTATGTTAGTATATGACATAAATTAGGATTGATTGACGTATTCAATTGTTTTTGGTCACTTCCTGTTTTACCAAAAATTACTTCATTTGATTTTTAAATGGCACCCTCGATATTTTTTTACTTAATACGATAGAAAATAACACTCTGAATAGAATGACATATCATATGTCAACTTTTGACATTTTCTCATATGGTTTATTTGAAGTTGTAACATGCGGACCATAACGAAAATTTTACTCGAAATACCAAATGTGTGGTACCAAATTATTCGTAAAAAAATGTTTTTTTTCAAATATGCTAATGAGCCACCCTCGTTCCATTTGAAAAAATTGAGATATGATTAAAAATACGATTTGGGCATCTTTTAACCGGCCAGGACAAGACACAAATAACCCTAGACGAAGAAATCTATGTTTCTAAAAATTAGTGTTGTGTGATTGAAATTTAAAATACGATCTTTTTTAAAGCAAAAATGTCAAAAGTTGACATGTGATATGTCATTCTATTCAGAGTGACATTTCCTATCGAATAAAGTAAAAAAATACCGAGGGTGCCATTTAAAAATAAAAAGTAGTAGCAATTTCCGCTGAAACAGGAAGTCACCAAAAACAATTGAATATATCAATCAATCCTAATTTTTATGTCATATACTAAATATACATACCAAATCTCGTTTTTTTATCTGACAAATTAAAAAAGTTATAGGGGTGAACCATTTTTGACACACACCCGGTATAATAAATACGCGTTTAAATTTGCGAAACCGTTAAAAATTTTGAAATACTTTAAATTCGAAAAATACGCATTTTTGAATTCTCCATCTAACAAAGGGATAATATACAGGGTGTTCCATTTAAAAAATCATCCCGCTCCACTCACACTTTTTTGAGCCACCTGTAGATGTTAGAATATTTTCTGAAACATATCCTCACACCTCACACATACATTAGGTTGGCACTTATACAAAATTCGTACGTTTTTTTTATTATAGGAGCTGCAGATCCGCAACGCACTGTTGCCGGGCCGTAGGAAAATCTTTGAACGGTGGCAAACCCCAACTTTCGGCAACTTTTTGATAGGCACCCTTATAACATCATGCACAGAATAAAAAGAGAGCTTTAATTTAACATATAATTGATCAAAAAATTGTATGAGCCTATAATGTCGTCTCCAAAATCAGTTATTATTATTATTAATTAAACATAGTTGCGGCAACTTTTCGACAGGCACCCTGTGAAAAGTGTATCCTCTTATTCATAAATATACGTAAAATTGTGTACTATTTGTAGAGTGTAGGAGTGTAGGTACGGATTAAATAAATAAATATCATATACAATACATCAGAAAGTAAATTCAAAAATCAGTACATATTTAAAAAAGTTTAACAGGATAATAAAGTAAAAAAAACAAGATTTTCATCTAATACCATCGTGAATTAAATCAAAAAACCTGATCGAGTAACACAGATTAAATTATTCAGTGGCCATATTGTTCTAATAACTAACTTAACCCCTTTATTTATACTTCCGTAGTCTATTCAAATACTCAAACCATCTCTTTAGAAAAAGCTTTAGATTAAGCCCACAGGAACTTAAAAAATTATTCCCACAAGAACAGGTGGCAAGCTTAACCCTGTCCAGTGTCGTAGCTGAACATTTTGTACTGAACTCAAATATATTAAACAAATAAGTATTCATTTTTATACGCAATTAATATTATGTTATTTTAGAATTTCATTTATAAGAAAATAAATAAAAATTTGACTTTCTCTCAGTAATTATACGTACCTACTTAAAATTAGAATAAAAATATAATAACTGAAATTAGTATAGTTAAAAGAAATAATATAATAATAAAAGAAACAGAATCCAAAATATCAATAATACTTTGGATTATGTTTCTTGAATATTTTTTTAGTGAAAAATATACCATACAATATAATACTATACCATACAACCAAAACCGGCGTCCATTTTGACATATACATACATTTGGATTTGATACAAGTATGCTTCTACTTATGAAAACATTATAAATTATACAGGGTCCTGCAACAGATGCCCGCCGATTTATTAAGGTCCTATAAGAAAGGAGTTATGAATTTCATTTAATTGTATCATTGACGCCGTTTTTTTTCGAGCATATAGTATATTATCCTGGTGCAAAAATGTAGAAATTTTGATGGTTTACATAATTTTATGGTTATAATGAACACATGGTATAATGAGAATTATTAAAATGTTTTCTTTTTTGTTTCAGATATGCTCAAACTTCATTACAAGTCATGGATTGTCCGAAAAAATGGCAAATACGACAGGCACTACCCCACCATCCCCCGATCTCACATTTCACCCTAATCTAAAAATAATGCCCTCAAAATTTTCACCCTTCTCCAACAAATTTCCTTTGTGACCGGCTTCCCGCCTATGCCCGAATACGAGAAATCGCGGGCGCGTCTCGACGACCGTTTGAACAAGCCGCCGCGCGATGTCGTACTGCTGCCGCCATCTAGGACCAACATGACGGACTGGGAAGGCATGTGGCTGCGAGCTCTGGCCCGCCCGCCGCATTGTCGCTCGCTGCAGGACCTGCAAGTGATCTATTACGGGCTGAGCGGCCTGGAGGCGCTGCAGTCGTTGAGAGATTCTAGTTTGCGCGCTCTCTGCAAGGTGGTGCGCTATGAGAAGCATTTGGCGAACGACGTTCTGTACTAGTGAGTATTGAATTGGTGTTAAGAGATGGCGCTGAAGAATAAAATATTTAAATTTAAAATTAGAGTGTTATATTTAGTTTTTATTTGACTAATTTATTAAAAAAAAACTTAATGGATTTTTTAATTAATAGAAAAGGGAGCAATTCGATAGACACTAGATACTTTTTATAGAAGAGATTAATGCTTCAATAATTAATTTGTATGTGTTTTTTTCCATTTCAGTACGGGTGAATTGTCAACTTGCTGGTACATATTGCTGTCTGGATCAGTTTTTATTGATGGATCCATGTTTTTGCCCAGATCCAGGTGAGAAATAAGATATGTTTATATTTTATACATGTTTAAAATTTAAGAAATTTTACATTTAAACAAGAAATAATATCCGAAGTTAAAAGAGATTTATTTTATTCAGCGGCGTAGCGTGGCATCAATACAAGAAGGATACAAGGGATGTAATAAGAAACTGCAATTAAAATATCACAATAAAGTTTTTATTATTAAAGTTACACAAATTAAATTATTAAAAGTTACACAAATAAAATACACAAAAAATGTAACAGAGGTTAAAAAAATAATCAAACCAATTTTCCATATGACTTTAACCAAATAGAAAATAACTCTTGGGGAAAAACAAAGCGCTTTCGGGTGATATATTATGACTAGTTGAATTTCTATGTCTCTTTTCCGACCTATACAAGGTGTCCCAGAAATAAGTGCAAGTATTTTAATTGGTAGTATAGTTCAACCCCAGAAACACGTCTATGGTTTTTTTTTCGCGAAAAAAAAATTTTGAAAATTCCGAATTTTTTGAATTTTTTTTCAATTTTTTTTTAGTTTCTAGTTAATAAATATAATTTCTTGATACTTTTAATGGCAATAATTAATTTCTTGGTAACATAGGTAGTAATATACAAGAAAGAAAATCTAGAAAAGATCCAGAGGTTCTCAAAATTTTAGCAAAAAATCATTTTTTTTGAAAATTTTCAAAGTAATTTGGACTTATTTGAAAAACGATAAAGAGAAAATAATATGTTTCTTTTCTCGATATCTACCACCCCTTAAAATACTTGCACCTATTTCTGGGACACCCTGTATATTTTATTTAAAAAATATTTAAATCGTAGAAATCGTAGCCGATAGTATTCCATACATTTTTCTCCTTGGAAAATACCGTATGATCGAATAAAAACGGCGTCAGCGATAGCTATGAAATGATGTATATGAAATGTACAGAGTGGGTCAAATTCGACGCTTTTAAATGGAAACACCCTTTTCTATAGGAGATAGACGAAAACTAATATCGGTGTCTGGAGTTCAATTTTCATCAAAAACATGATGGTGAAAATCGCACATCAATATCTGTTACCGTTTCGGAGTTACGGGGTGTTTTTCCAAAATGTGCATTTTTAACAAAACGCTGTAACTTTTTTGCTATGGAAAATTTTGTATTTCTATGAAAACATATCCATAGCACCTTTTTACGTAGAATTTAATGGTTTAAGTATATATTTTTTAAAATTAATAATTTAAGAGTTATCAACAGAAAAATTGATTTTTTATTTGGGACACCCTCTATATTTTTAATTAACTGAAAATAATTTAAAATAACCTTTCCAAAAATATAGCACACTTGTTATTTTGTTATAATCCCCTTCGAAATACAGAATTTTCAAAAATTTCGCCACTTTTAACTAGTAGCACAGAATATCTAGCTACGCAACAGAAGCCTCGTTACATGTATAAAATTGTAGGTAGCAAAAGGAGACAGGCTTTTAAAGCCTGTCTCCAAATCAGATATTTTGATGTGGTAGTTTCGCTACTACATAATAGAGGGCAATAAATTTAAAAGAAAACAGTTTTCTACAAACAAAGATCCCAGCCGTTGGCCGTCGAGGCCGCCTGACTTTGTGCCTGTGGACGTAATCCTATGGATATATTTGCGGAAGAATAAAGGTTCCTTATTCTTCCGTATAATCTAGACAAGAATTAGAAATACTTAGCAGTTATGAGAGGGTATCTTTCACCCCTATTGAGTTAATGAATTCCGCGAGAAATGTTCAAAAACTGCCCGGTCTGTCCATAACAGAAAACGGTCGATATGTCGAACACCTGTAGCAAAATCTTGTCTTGGTTTGCTATTTATTGTTACTAGATATATGTAGTTTAAATGTGTTGATGTTGGTTAAATATATTTTAAATTGTTATAAAATTCTGCATCTTTCATAGCAAATATTATTTTCGTTTTAATTGATGCTCACAGCTAGAATTTTTTTGCATTACAGCCGGTGCCGTTCAAAGCCTTCTTATTTAAAGCCGGCGAATTTTTATATACTCTATATCTCGAAGAGGAATCGAGCAAAATATCAAGTGTGTTATAGTTTTGGAAAGGTAATTTTATATTATTTTTAATAAATTAAAAATATACAGGGTATCCCATATAAAAAATCAAATTTTCTGTTGATAATTCTTAAATTATTAATTTTAAAAAAATTATACTTAAACCACTAAATTCTACGTAAAAAGGTGCTTTGGAAATGTTTTCATAAAAATACAAAATTCTCCATAGCAAAAAAGTTACAGCAATTTGTTAAAAATGCATATTTTTGAAAAACACCCTGTTACTCCAAAACGGTAACAGATATCGATATGCCGTTTTCACCATTATGTTTTTGACAAAAATTGAGCTCCAGACACCGATATTAGTTTTTATCTCCTATAGAAAAGGGCGTTTCCATTTAAAAGCGTCGAATTTGACCCACCCTGTATATGGGAAATGTCATTAATGGTGATTTCCAAGCCATCTGCACGCCGTTTTTTTCGATCATATGGTAGTAGACAAGGCCAAAAAAAAAGTTTGAGTGCCTTACAACTTACAACCACATAACCAGTGTCACTTTTATAAACATTTTCACTAAAATGACGGATATAGAAATAGTCATTTAAGCTAAATTAGAATATACGTCAAAGGCTCGGTCACAGGCAAATACAAATATATCAATTTACTTCAAGTTATATTAAATAAAATAATTTTATACTATTATAAATTAATATATTTTCAGGTGTAAGAAATGTAAAAAATCATAATCAAGTAGAGGGAAAAATAATTTATTTTGAGATTATAGGGTAATAAAGAGAAATATGCTCTTTGAAGCTTTTTTGACTTTAACAATATTCGAATTTTATTTTTGTGATTCATACAATTCGCAACTCGATTATTCCAGTCGTGTGAATGTTCTACAAACTATATTTATAATTTATAGATGTGAATTTTCTTATGTGGTTTATTTTATATATTTTTCAGTTATATGTATATAAACTGCCCGTCAAATTAAATACCACAGCGATTTTTTTACTCATTTTAAACGAGTTGTAACTTTGAAAAAAATGAACCAATTTTGTTGATTTTTTTAGCATATTGAAGATCGTTTTTCGTAGATTGATCTGACTTTTCTAAATTTTGTATGAGATTTAGTCTTCTATGATATACCGGGTGTGAAAAAAGGAATGTAATTTTTGTGTTGCTGCCATTTTGCCAAAAAAAGATTAACTAGAATTATAAGAGTTCTGGGTATAGCTAAGACGAATATCTCGAGACGTATTGGGAATTTTTACGATAACTCATCTGGAATAAAAGATAATCAATTTTTACTCTAACTTGTATTTTTTCTACCTTTCTTAAGAGCTAACAAAACTGAAATTAACTTTATAATGTAGGAACATGTTCCATAAAAAGTGAATGTGAGTTTTACATTATTCATCAATACCGCGTAGGTCCGCCTCATACCAGCAGAAGTTCGGCTGTTCTTCTAGGCATACTATCCACCAAGTTCCTGATAAAATCCCGGGGAATAGATTCCCATTCGTCCCTGATAGCAATCGCCAATTCTTCCACATTCAAATATTCTTGCTCGCTCTTGTATTTAAGCACTTTAAGTTGCAGCTAAACTACAGATTTTTAGACACAAAAAGAGTTTTTAGAAAAATATCAAATACGTGTCGAGCTTTTATATTAACCTTATGGGCTGTTAAGTTCAGAATATTAAAAAAATAATTTTACTTTTTCGCTGGTCGTATTTTTAAGAGATCCTGTATTAAACTGCGTTAGTTAAATCATTTTTTTTTAATTTCACATTGTAAAAGTAACGAATATCCTACAATAATTTTAAAGTTAATTTCAGTTTTGTTAGCATATCTCTTAAGAAAGGTGGAGAAAATAAAAAATACAAGTTAGGGTAAAAATTTGATTATCTTTTTTTTCAGATGAGTTATCGTAAAAATTCCAAATACCTCCCGAGATATTAGTCTTAGCTATACCCAGAACTTATAATTCTTAATTCGTTAATTTTTTTTTTTTGGCAAAATGGCAGCAACACAAAAATTACAAAAAATACATTCCTTTTTTTCACACCCTGTATAACATAGAAAATTACATCTCATACAAAATTTAGAAAAAGCAGATCAATCTACGAAAAACGATCTTTAATATGCTAAAAAAATCAACAAAATCGGTCCATTTTTTTCAAAGTTACAACTCGTTGAAAATGAGTAAAAAAATCGCTGTGGTATTTAATTTGACGGACAGTTTAGTTTGCCCCACGAGCCAGGAAAGATTTCGACAGACGACATTCCAAAATTCAGTTTACTTGTGAATTAAAATGACAGAAAGCAGCTGTCACTGTCATGTATCCTCTTGTTGGACGAACTTTGTATATCTAGGGTGACAATTCGAAAAGAAGCAAGAAGCAATAATAAGGAATGCCTCTTAGACTATATAAAAAACCATACAATCGAATAAAAAACGGCGTCAGAGGTGGCCTGGAAATGATGATCGCTGTCGTTTTTTATGTAAAATTATATAGGGAATGTCATATCGTCATTTCAACACCAACTGAACAGCGTTTTTTGTAATTAAAAACAACTTATTACAACAAAGTTATTTGTAATATTAAATCTCACCATAAATATAAGTTTTTTAACAACAAGAAAGGAATTCATATTGATGTATTTTAGATTGTTAACAAACTATAACGTTATTAAAGAAAGGTAGTAATTAATTAATTTGTACTTATTTGTCCAAAATTATTATTTTTGTGAAATTTAGAAAAAAAACAACATCAAAATTGTTTTTCAGAGCATTATCCATCAATCACAATACGAAACAATATATTAAACTCAAATATAAAAAAACATTCAATTAGTTTTATGATGCTCTTGTACTTTAATTGATAAACATGAAAAAAATGTAATTGATACAAATTATTAGTCATCAAATCAAAACTTGTTGATTAACCGCTCAATAACATACA